ATAGAGATATGGATGCCTTGAACTACATTTCATGTGTCATTTAAAGAACTCACTGCCAAAGGGTTATGCAAAGAATAATGGAAGAGATGAAAATGCAGTAGACTAACGTTTCCAATGCAATAGGTAGAAATTAAACCATGATGAGCATTCATATTGCGGCTTTCATAAAAACACCAAGCTTGGATAAGTTCTTATGTATTTACATATCTAACACTAAAACTTTGTTATTTATATATTTATCATTGAAAATATTAAAATCACAACAAAAATTCACTATTACTAACTTTTTAAAAGTGAATAACACCTTTTCATGCATACGTTCATAACACCTAAATGTTATAAATGCAAATATTAAAGTATAGTTATAATTTTAGGTGTTATAACTATAACTTTGTCGGTTTCTGGGTCCCTCACTTTCTCATTTGCTAAAGAAGAGGAGATGTAGGAGGATATACTTGATAAACTTTTTGACCGCTTATTTTGGTTCTAAAACCACTGCTTGCTTGAAGCATATCAGACACCTACCAGTAGAAGTAATGCAAAACAACGAAGAAATAAAATAAAAACAATAAAGCATGAAAGGTATTGCTTATTTTTTACTAAACAACATTCATATGCATGTAACATCTTCAACCTATTACACTTTTATGAATTTTAACTTTCAAGCTATGATATCATTTTGTCATACAAAATTTGGATGCAATTGCTCTAATTTAGTTATCCAACCTTAACTCTAGAAGTCACACCTCATCTATGTCTACATTCTCTTACTAATATCATCCATGTCTACGCTATGATATCATTTTTTTTTTGTAGTGATAGGTACTAAGATATAGCTCTCTATAGCTTCAAAATCCCCTCACCATAGCTCACTATATCTTTAATAACATTAACATAAATTTGACAACATTGTTGCCTTAGTTAACTACATATCAATTCTTGTAGTAATTAAAAATGTGCCGGTTTAAAATAAGAAAGGAATAATAACATACATGCCACTCAATTTTTATGTATTTACATATCTAATACCTAAACTTCAACTTTCACCGATTTTCTTAATATGGAGGATATGGTGGTTTTTTACTTCCCCTTTGTCAAAGAATAACTATCATTATATATATATAT